CCTCCCTTCTGCTGCTATATGAAAACTCCTTGAATACAAGAAACTCTTTAAAAGTAAGAAAACAGGCAGAGGATTTAAGGACATGCAATAGCTAAATGTACTCTCCAGTCACCTCAGGGGCAGCCTGCACCAAACAGTGAGTGCACCTTGTCCAACAGGGGTAGAATGGGTTCTCAGAGCCCAATTAAGTCTCTGGCTGGAAAACCCCACTGTCCAGAGTCTGGAGAAGGCATTTCCGATGGAGAAAGGAGGTGCTCCAAACGCCACCTACAGGTTTCCCAGAGGGAGAGCCCCAGGGTGTTCAGGTGTTGGCATAACCACAAAAAGCACAGAGAAACAGCGCGGCTGGTGCAGCTACAAATTCAGATACCATGTTTCAACTGGTACACAAATAAGCAGTTTGCTCTAACTGAAAGTGCCCCACAGCTAGATGATTCCTGAGCAATGGCACAGCAACTTCCTCAGAGTCTCTTGGTGCAGTGTGACTTCTCCTACCAGAGTATTGGACTAGGATTTAAGCCCTGCATGAGCTGGCATAAACATCATGAGGTTTTACCTCCTCATCTAACCCTGTAATGACACCCTAATGTTGAACAGAGCATCAAAGTAATGCAGTAATAGTCCTCTTAAAGCAGAAGAAATAAGAAAACCCTCTTACCTGGGGCAGGAGAGGGAGTAGCCACAAATCCATACCCGTTCACTTTTGGAGACTCTTGGGGTATGAGTTCTTTCCCATCGGGTCCCACTTTGCCCTGTTTGTACTGAAATAAAAAAGACAATGTCATTTATGTGGAGAAAGGTCAGCTGCATCCAGCACACACACACAGTTCTGGGGGATGAACCACACCACAGGGCAAAGCCTGACTAGATCTGAGTCAGAAGTCAAATTATCCTACCTGAGCATTGAGGGCTGCAGCTTGCTGGAGCTGTGATTTGCTCACAGCTTGGCTGAAAGGGTCCTTCACAAAACGTGTGTTTCGATGCACAACTTCCCTGGGCTTCTTGAAAACTTCACTCTCATCAGGTACACCTTGAAAAGCAAAATGTGTTTTAAAAAGAGCTCTTTACTGGTTCACAGAAATTATCAGTTATACATTTACAGGCAAAAAAGAAAGGTACATTTACAAAAATATGTATTTTTCTATAGCAACAAACAGAATAACAAGTCCAAGGAGGATTTTTTGAGCAGAGGCAAACAATGAATGAAGACGACAAGTGCTCATAAAGAAGACAGACCAGGAAAGAGCTTTGGCTACTGAAAACAAGTACTTCTGTAATACAGATGAGCTTTCCAATGGCAAATATAACACAATCAAACTTTGGAATCAGAGAGCAAGAAAAAAAGGAAACCCCCCACTTTTTAAACACAACCTTACAGAAGAAAAAGCACAGCATTAGCTGTAAGATCTGCTCAGGCACATACAGAAATGCTGTAAGCACTGTTTGGAGCCAATGCCTCACCTGTAGGATAATACATGAGGGTGTTTCGAGCTGTGTATTCCCAGGTATCCAGCCCAGCTTTCACGTTCTCCAGAGCTTGCTGCTCAGCTGAAGGAAGTGCCAGGTTTTCATTTTGTCGCTGAAAGGGCAATGGAAAAAAATTTTTAAAGGTAAAAAAAAAAAAAAAAAGTCTGAAGCAGCTTCCTACAACCTTTTATTCAGGCAGACAAACTCAGAGAGCTCGGTCACAAGCTCAGCCACCTGCCCTAGAACATTTTGCATAAGGTATGGAACAGACTCTGAGGGATAGTTGGGATAAAAAAAATAACACTCCCTCAAAACAACAGCAGCAAACTCCCACACATCAGTGCCAAACTTCATGGAAAGGCACATCCATCAATGACACATCTGTGCCAGCTGCTCACTGCTGGTGGTTAAAGACTGGCAAGGCAGGCCCAGAGCAGCACTTGGACCTCCCCTGCAGCAGCTGAGGAAGGCAGCACAGGCAGCCATGCTCATGCTTCAGCAGCTCAGTGGGCTATTGCTGACAACAGCAAAATAAAACTGAAATAAGACAGACAAACTGCAAAAAATGAGAGGCTGATGGACAAACAGCAGGAACTGTGCTCAGCTGCTCTCCCTGGTGCTGCTGCTTACAGAAGAGGCTGCCAAGGACAGCAATACACTCTGTGCAGTGCTCTGCAGTCTCAAAGCTTTCAGAAGAGACAAAGCCTCAGCAACTAAGTCAGCACTGTTCCTGTGTGACAGAAGGGGGAAAAACAGGACTGCACAAGGAAGCAGAGAGCAGTCAGAGATGCAGGGAACTGAGCCTTAGCAGAACCAGTGAAATGGCATTTCCTGCTGAGTCCCTCTGGAAGAGCAGAGGCAGAGCTGAGGCCGCTCCCTACCCGGGTGTACTCCTCCTCTGCGCTGTACAGCCAGGCGTGCTTGACCTTCTCCTTCTCTTTGGCCACCTCCATGATCTGCTCAAAGGAAGCGTTGTCCTCACTCGTGTGCTGTGCCAAGAACGCGTCCAGGCTGGGAAGAGCATCTTTATCATCCTTTTCTGCTTCTCCTACCGAGAGAAGGGAAGGTGCCTGAGGAAGGTTAATGCCTCCCTTTCTAGGGGAGCACTGTATCTCCCCTTAACCCTCCTGGCAGCTAGACACACCAATAACTACCAGCAAGCTGGGCCACAGATCCACACACAGTGGTGCAGTAATAAATCAGGTTTGGAACACATAACCTGCTTTCAATAACCCCTTTTATGGCATTTATAGCAATTTATTTTAAAGGTGAAATGTACAAGTGGCCAGGTGCTGGTAGACAATTTATTTTTCAAAGAATACAGCTAGAGAAACATAATTCTCCTACCTTCCTCTCCAGTCTTGATGCCAGCTTTGGATTTATTTCCCACTGGAAGGCCACCTGGATGCACTTCTGGGGTTTCAAACGTGGCTGGGGTAACATCTGTCACAAAGAAAAATAAAATAAAATCACCTGGTTACTGGAGCATGCAACAGGATGTGCTGTAAGGATGATGTACCAAACAAGTCACAGGAGGCACATCAAGAGAATAAAAATTAAATCGAAAACTTGTGAAAAGAAATGTTCACAATGTTCTACTCAATTCTGTCTCAACCTCCAAACAAGATTTTGGCCTCATCTAAGACATTTTCTCCTGCTGGGAGAAATTCCCAGGAGAGCCACAGCCCAATACATTTGTCACCCTACACCCTGCTTTTGCCAACAAAAGCAGCAGCAGATCAAACTGAGCCCAGACCAGGGCCAGCACCTGCAGCAGGGGAGGAAGGGACATCACCTGGTAACATGTGCCCTTTGTCACAAGAAAGCCACTCACCCAAACCCCAGTGCAAGAGCTCAGCCAGGGGCTGGGCTTTAGGAAACACCTGAACTGGAAGGGAAAGAAAACATAAAACAGAACACTGGGTACCTGCTGTGGGAACCTCTGATAACCACGAGCTCCCCACACCTTTTGTCCCTAAAACATGAAAATCTCAAACTACAAACTGAAATAAGGATTCAAAACACAGCTCAGGATTTCTCATAGAAGAGAGCACATAACCTTCCTATGGAGCAGGAACTTGGCAAAAGATGCCCATAAGGAATGGTTATTATTTGTCCCAAAGCCTTTCCCTTGAGGAGTTATTAGACACCATCAAAGAGAAATTCAGCATGAGCCACCAGACACTGGCTGCTGCCCAAACCGGTACACTTAGCTCTCATGCAACATCAGTCTTGAATCTTTAAGATAAGCATTGTCTGCACAAAGTTAGATAAAGAACAGCAGCAATATCAGATATAAAACCCTCATGCCCCACAGAGCCAGTTCTTACAGGGTGCAGGTGTGTCCCTCGAAGATTTGTTCAAGGAAGAGCCAAACTTGATAGCAATTTGTCTCATTTTCTCCAAGTCTCCGTTTTCCTCAGCCTCCAGATAGTCCTTCTGTGCTCGCAGCTTCTCCACATCGGGAAAAAAGTCTCGCTGGATGATCTTCTCTAAGCTCTACAAAGACAGAGACAACTGCAACGCCCCGCTGGGACACCTGGAGCGCGGGCCCAGCAGCAAAGGCACGGGCAGGCCGGGCAGCCCAGGCGGGCAGAGCGCCGGCAGCTGCCGCCGCAGGACGGGCGGGAGCCCGAGGGGCGGCCCCAGCGCTACTTCCACCCGCAGCCGCGGCTGCACCGGCCGCGGGCCGACCGCGCCGAGCGGAGCCCAGCCGAGCCCCGCCGCGCTGGAAGCGCTCGGCCCAAGCACCGGCGGGGCGGAGGCGCCCGGGCCCGCCGCCTTACCTCGATATAGGCCTCCTCATCCAGGATCTTCTTCGGGTGCCTCGCGGCCGGCGACACCAACTCCTTCCCCGTCACGGCGACGGGGCCCGCGGCGGGAGCCGGCACCAGAGCGGCGGGAGAGGCCGGGGTCGCCGGTATCGCCTCCATGGTGGGAAAACAGCCCCGCTCCTGCTCCTCCTTCGCCGCCGCGAACGCGACTGGCAGTGACGTCACATTTCCGCGCCCCGGGCTCGGCATGCGCGCGCGCCTCCTGTCGGTCCGGAAGACCCGGCCGGTCCCGGGCCGTGACAGCGGCGGCACCGGGTCGGGATGGGAACCGGGATGGGAACGGGGATGGGAACCGGGATGGGAACCGGGCTATGCACACGGGATGGGAGCGGGATACACACGGGATGGGCGGCGGGCGGATCCCCCCAAGGCCCCCACGGTCTCTTCAGACCTCCTCAGGAACAGCCCGGGCCTGGGGGAGCGGGATCCCGGCCGGCTCCCGGGCAGTGTTACTGATGTCGCTGCTTTCCAGCTCTCCACTCCTCCTCGGCCCCGGCGGGAGCACGGACACGGCTCCGTGTTACCGGGGCTGGCTGGCAGCAGGGCTGAGGCGGGCGCTGCCTGTGCCGGCCCCTCACCACGGCACGTTCGGCGCCTCTCCCCAGGCTATGGGGAGAAACCCGCCTTTCTTTGGTATGGAACAAATCGCTTGTCCAGCAAGTTCTACCCCAAAAGCAACTCTAGAAGCCACTGAGGTGCTGCAAACAGGAAACATTCATTTGCAGGATATTTTGCAAATCTACATCAATAAAACAAGTACAAATACTACGTGCACAGAGCAAAGACAAGAAGGGGAGTTCCTCCTTCTCTTAAAGCACACACATTTAACACCGGTGCAGCTCTGTCCCCTGCACGTCCTGCCTGCACAGTCATTTGCCACGTGAACTCTGGAAGAGGCATGTGACAGTGCCGTGTCTGCTTTTACCTGTCCTCCTCCTGTGCGAACCACAGAGGTTCCCTGGTGCTGCACAGCCCCTCGGGGTACCCCCGAGCCCGTCAGCCAGGGCAGTGGGTGCTGGGTGCTCTCTGCAGCCTCTGGGCTCTAGCAGCTCTCCTTGGGGGGCTGCCTGGCCTGCAGGGTCAGTGCTGAGGCAGTCGCCCTCTTCTGATGCCGCCACTTCGCCCGGCGGTTTTTAAACCAAACCTAGAAAGTGCAAAACAAATAAGGGCTTTTGCGTGTCAGGTGTTACTGGGAGGGGGACAGGCAGTGGCCCGCCTGGGCTGTACTGTGTGGGCTGTAAGGTACTGTAACAGCAAGGCTTGATACAAAATGTAATCAGTCCCTCTGCTGCAATCTTGCTCTGGTACATGTGAGGGCATAAGGGAGCTGGGACCCCCCCATGACAAATTCAGAAGTGACGCAGATCACTTAGGTAAGGAATACACCCTTGGGTGCAGGGGATGAGCAGCAGAGCTGGGCGTGTCTGTGTGTGACACGCGATTCTGGCAGAGGCATCATGTCAGTCTGTGGACTGGGTGCCAGTACAAATTAGCCCAGCTGAAATGGTTTCTATTCTTCCATTGCTCGCCAAACTTAAACTCCCTTTTGTCAAACGCACAAGGATGGATTTTAAAACGAGGAGGGTCTGCAGCTCCCCAAGAAAAGACAGCACACTGCCGCAGTGTGTGTTCCCGGGGGACTGCAGGAACACGGGTGGCAGGATCTCACCTCCACGCGCTCCTCCTTCAGGTGGATGCGGTTTGCCAGGTGCTCGCGGGTGACCACGTCCGGGTACTGGTTCTGGTGGAACAGCGTCTCCAGCGCCTGCAGCTGCTCCTCGGTGAAGATGGTGCGGTGCCGGCGCGTGCGGCGCTGCAGCTGCTGCAGGGCCTGCAGCTCGCCCGGCTTCTCCTGGGAGCTCCTGCACGCCCTGAGTGCCGGGTGGAGGAGCCGCACGGGCCAGGGGAGCCGGGCATCTGCGAGGGGACAGGGACAGCAGCAGCGGTACAGGTGTGCGGCTCAAACACTCGCCACGCTCAAGGCAGCTCAGGCACGAGTTGCATCCCTGCTACTGTCTGGAAGGAGGCAGCCAGTCACCTGGAGTGGTGGCAAGCTGAGTGGTCACTGTGCCAGTGGGAGAAGAGTTCAGGGCATGACTCTGGGAGAAGGATGCAGGCTGGGTTGTCTTTGTTTACTTACCAGTTGCACTATGGCCAGCTCCAGAAAAATAACTGCAAACTCACAGCTCAGCAAAGATCTGTGTTTCAGCCCTGACACAAGGGAATTCTGAACTTTCAGTATGCTCTTGAACTGCATTTTTAAGGGTTTTCTACTTTTTATTTTCCACAGTAATTTTGCTAGAAGTAGCCAAAATTTTTTCCTTAAAGCATAAGTGAGGTTTCCCAGGGCTGGTGATGTCAGGAAGCACAGGCACAGCTCTGCACATGGCCAGCGTGGCCAGCGTGGCCATGGGGCCCCACACTCCACAGAGAAGCATCCTTCTCTCAAGAGTTTCACACTGACCAGTAATACCCAGTAACAGTCAGCACCCTCTGCTTTTCAAGCCTGGCAGCATTTCAGGTGAAAGTGCCCACTCTTAGGAGCCCTGCTGAGAACAGCTCGGATTGCTGGGCCTCAGGCCAAGACCACCGTGGCCAGATGCCATCTTGTCACTTAACAGCCAGGTTTTCCCCTGCCCATAACACTGGCACCAGCCCCACTGCGAGCCCCACACTGAACCAAACCCAACCCTCACCCAGCCCAACACTCACCCAGCCAGGCTGGCAGGTCCTGCAGGGAGCGGGCACTCGTGTGAGAACAGCAGCAGCAGCTGCAGCCTGCCCCTTCCAGCTCTTCCTCCTCTTCCTCCTCCTCCTCCTCCTGCAGGGAGCTGGCTGGAATGGTCTCCAGCTCACAGAGCCTCTGGGGTGTGCAGTCCAAGATGCTCCGTAGGCACAGTGGCACCAAGACCTGGGGGCTCTTCTCGGCAGGGCTGGAGAGGATGTCCTCGATGCTGAACGGACGTGGCTTCTTCAGGCCTCTCCTGCCAGCCTCAGCCCCTGGCACTGCCTCTGCAGACATCCTGTGCCAGCAGCAGCAGCTGGGGAAACAGGCAGCCCAGCTGGGGGGCTTTGCTCTCCCTTCACTGGCTCCCTAGTGGGGGTTTGCTAGGGAAAGGACAGCTTTTGTGGTTTTTAAAATGGACTGGCAAAGCCATCCAGAACCATGGCTTTGTCTTGGCATTTCAAGTGACTGTCATTCTTGCAGCTGAGTTTTTATTTTATACACACGCACTCTTTTCCTCCCTCTGACCTATCTGCGTTATGACTGAAGCCACTCTAAATATATATATATAGAGAGAGATATAATCCCTTTGGAAAGAAAACCGTAAACCCTCCTGCAAATAAAATAAATTCTAACTAATCTTGGCAGCTTTGTGAAGGGTTAGTGTGGATCTAAGATTTAGCTAATCCCACAAAAATGACTGGAGAAGGAAATCTGATTTCTCCATCTCGGGTGTAGATTTGAGGTGGTTATGATCTCCATTGTGCTGCAGCCTCCTATCCAGGGAAGGGGGAGGATAGCTGTTCCCAGCCCGGAAATGGACCAGAGGATTAACTCCTTAAAAGAAGCAAATTATCCCTTTCTTTGGCCAAATGAAAGCTTTCCCATCAAAAGAGAGCTGTCATATCATACAATATGAGAGAAGAGAGAGTTCAGCTTAATAAAAAATCATTTTTAATGACAGCACAGCCTTTGGCTTTGGCAGAATTCTCTGTGAAAGTTGATTTATTTTCTGCTGAAAGCAGAGAAATTGTTATTTTCCCTCCTTTCCCTTTCCCCCATCTCTGTTGCCCTAATCACTGTAATAATGCAGATGCTTTGCATGTATCCAACATACTCTTTGTAAGGATTCAAAGCCCTTAATAAATTAGATTATGAGCTGCTTGCAGCAGCTGTGCACCACAGCTTAGTGGCATGTAACCACCTCCCATGCAGCTGAGCCATGCTCTGTGTGGGGAAGGGAAGGGGAGGATTGTTGCTGCTGCTGCTGCCTCTGTGTGCTCTCAGTGAGGACCCACAGCCATCCAGGCAGGAGTGTGGACTCACATATCCAGGAGTGTGGACTCAGTACCACAGCCAACTTTCCCAAAGCCACTTCAATTCCCAGCTCCTGCCCTGCCAAAGAAACTGGGAGAGGCCATGGCCAAGATTCAGGACAGGAAGGGAAGCCTGGCTCTGCCCCCCTGAAGTCAAACAGCAAGGCCTGGCAGCTGCAATCCACAGGAGGAGAGAGAACATCTTGGATCCTGTGTTTTTAACTGACTGAATAGCTAGGAATAAAATAGAGAAGGTGTGGTTGAGATCAGGTTGCTTAGCAAAGTTGAAAGCCAAGTTCCCTTGCCCTCAGTGCAGTTTAAGCCAAGGTGAGAAGCAAGGCCTGGGGGGCTCAGGTGGGGAGCACTCACACCTGGTGTTTCCTTGCAGTCCCACCCATGGTGCACCAAGGAGACACACGGGTGGGTGCTGTGAAACCACTGCACACCAAACACCCTCAGGCTGGACAGCCCAGCCATGCCTCCAGCACCCTGCAAAACTTACAGCCACTCCCAGGACAGCCTCTCTCAGCTCCCTTCTGCTCTCCTCATCCCTGCTCGCTGCCTGCCCTTCCTCCCTGCAGGTCCCTCAGTGCTGGGAAGAGATGCCCCATAGCTGTTCTACTTGTGACTCACTTCAAACCAAACTGCTGTTTTTCCTTCCATCCCGTTATCTGCCTCACCTTCAGCTGTTCCAATGGTGTAACTTGGATTATAACTGAGCTCTGTGAATCTTTACCTTTTGGGATGAAGACACCCTTGTAGCCGCTCAGTCTGGACGTGTTCACTCTGCCCTGCCAAGGTGTGAGTGCTCCAGAGAGACACTGGGGATGCCCTAATTCCAGAAATCACTGAAACTGTTCCCAGCTTTTGTGCATGTAGCCAAACGCTGACACGAGGGGTGGATGTGGGGCCAGGTTCTGCTCCCCACTCTGCTGGTCCAGAGGGGCCATAGGGCCGGCGAGCTGGGACGTGCCATGGGCAGGTGCAGGATCTGACCAGCTCTGTTCAGATGCCTGAAGAGGATTAATTCTCCTTCCCCATCCTTAACAAAGGACGTCTTTCCCTGGGCATCCTGTCCCAGCCCTGCCTTCCCACCACACATGCACTTAGCCTATTAGGATCTCTGCTGATTGCTTTCTTTCATTCCTCCCATACCTTTCACTACAGAAAATGGACTGGTAATACTTCTTTTATCAAAGAATTATGGGATTTAGGATCCAGATTGTACAAAGAGACTTTTGATAGCTGCTGGTAATCAAATCCCAATCGGCAGACACTTCTCTGCACCCTGTTACCAGACAGGAATAAAGGAAAGGGATTTCTGATGTACTGTTTACTGAGCCTCGGGGAGATAGCATCGCTGGGCTATTTCATATTAGAAAAGGAAAGGAAAATAAAACAAGAAAGAAAAAACATGCAGACAAGAGAGGACAATATAGATGTAGATAAAAAGAAAAGAAACAGGTTCTTATAATTTTCTTATTGGTTAAGGAGATTCCAAAGCCATTATAGAGGATTAGCAAAAAGGTTAATCTGCTTTAGCTGTTCACTTGTCAAAAGTGAATTTATAGGGTTTGAAAATCCTTCCTATGGTGAAACAAGAAAAAAATCCCCCTCTCCCTCTTGTGCCCCTCCCTTCTGCAGGCAGCACAAGGTGATGGGAACAGGAGCACTGGAAACCCTCCAGCACAGCAGCACCCTCCTCTGCCTTGCCCCTGCCTGTGTGCTGGCACCTGTGGGAGCTCTCGTTTGGCAGTGCTTCTCCCCACTCCCTATCACCAGTGTGGGTGGCTGTGATGCTGAGGAAAAGGAGGATCAGATCTGAGGGATGTAACCATCCTCCTGCACTCCTCTGCCTTACCTGGGACAAATCCTGGGCTCTTTCACTCATTGATATTGACAGCAGTCAGGCCAAACCGGGATCCCTGGCTGGCTTTGGGCTTCCAGGCTGATTTCTAAAGCAGAACAGAGATGGAGGCTGCTGACAAATGTTGCCAAAAACTACAGTCTGGGGGTTTTCCATCCCCAAGGGAAGTGCTCAGCCCAGGATCCACATCCCTCCTGGCCACCCAGTGGAGCCACTGGTGCACACCAGCTGTGTTTTCCTGGGCTGCCTGTGCCATGACCCATCCAAGCAAAGGATGCCCATCACTCACTCCAGAACCCCTGTGAGAAAGAACCCAGAGTAAAAACAAGCCTTCAAGATCAAAAACAAGAAGCATTTTCTGTGTAGCTGAAATTCAGTGGGATGTGCTAGTCAGGTGTTAAAACTATGTTTAATAAATAACCAGAAGTCGTAAAATCATTGGATGGTTTAGATTGAACGGGCCTTTAAAGATGATCTTAAAATCATGCCAATTAAAATTGTTCAACCCTGTGCCAACTAAGATTAAGAGCTCCAATAAACTCATTTTGATTAGACGATAATTACAATAAACCTGTCTCTCTTCCCAAAGGCCATTTCACTGCACAGGAAGAAGTGGAATCCCTCCACTGGGGAGTAGTGTTGTTAGTGATACTGCTAGTAGGGATGCTATCAGTGGTGGTGCTGGCTATCAGAGATGGTGTTCGTGGTGGAGCAGGAGGACTGTGGGGTACCAAACCTCCTCTTCCAAAATGAGCCACGATGGAATCAGACAACTGCTTCACCCTGAAGCAATCCAGTTGGCATTTCAGAGATCTTGCACCGCTTCATGCAGTCCAGATCCCTCTGTGCTCGGCAGGCAGCACCCGCTTTTCTCAAGTTCTGGCTTATCTCGCTTTTCCCCGACTACGGAAACAGTTCGGGATGATGATGCCTTTTAACTGCGGCCTTGCAGCCGGCGCCGCGGGTCCCGGCCGGGATGAAGGAAGGAGAGCGGGTCCCGGGGCAGGGTGAAGGAAGGAAGCGCCGCGGGTCCCAGCCGGGGTGAAGGAAGGGCCGCGGGTCCTGGGGCAGGGTGAAGGGAGGAAGCGCCGCGGGTCCCGGGGCAGGGTGAAGGAAGGAAGCGCCGCGGGTCCCAGCCGGGGTGAAGGAAGGGCCGCGGGTCCTGGGGCAGGGTGAAGGGAGGAAGCGCCGCGGGTCCCGGGGCAGGGTGAAGGGAGGAAGCGCCGCGGGTCCCAGCCGCTCTCCCGGGCGGTGCTGCCCCGGGGCAGCGCCAGGGGGCGCCGCCGAGCGCCGCCGCGGGCCCGGCTCTATGGTGCGGCCGCCATGGGCGCCGAGCGGGAGGCGCGGGCCTGCGCCGCCTTCTACGGCACTCGGGGCCTCGCCCCCACAGTGCTCTCCTGCCTGCGCTGCCTGCGGCACTTCGCGGGGTAAGAGGGCGGGCCCCGGGGAGGGAGCTCCCCGTGTCCCCCGGTCACGGCTGCGTCGGGAAACCCGCGGTGTGTAGCTCCCGTGCACCCGCGGGCGCGGGTCGGGAGGGAAGAAGGGAGTGTGGGAAGATCGGTACCCAGCGAGGGGTTCGAGCCACGCTCACGGTGCTCCCCATTCCCTTCCAGCCTGCTCAGCAGCAGCAGGGCTGCAGTTTTTAGGATTTTCGTGCCCTTCTGCCCACCAAGGGCTTACGATGCGCTGAGCTTTGAGGATTTCGTGCAGCTCCCCCCCCTCCCCGCCCGCCGCCGTCCCTCCGTCCCCGCTGCAGTGCAATGAGCACCGCAGGCTGCGGCACCCCCATCCCAGATCCCACTGAGTCGGGGTACTCCCCCCACTACAGACTTCACCGAGCCAGGGTATCCTCACCCCTGTCCTTGTCCTGTTGCAGGAGCACTGCCAAGAGATGCAAGGAGAAGCACCTGGAGGAGGCTCTCCAGCTGACACGGGTGCTGAGCGAGGGTCTGCAGGCGCTGGGTGAGGCAGAGGCACGACCCCTGCTCCGCTGTGTCCTGGCTTTCCAGATGGAGGCAACCGGCAGCTGCAGCTCCTTCCAGAAACTGGAACAGGTCTGTAAGGCAATCGCTGGGCTGGCTTTGCCCACTCCTGGCACAGCTCTGGAGCTTTCTGGCATCCTTACCAGCAAAGGGGCTCAGAGGTGGTGCAGGCTCCCCCAGTAGCACTTGGCAGCTGGTGTCTCCCAGGGGTCTGGGCAGAGCAGCTGACTTGGGGTGTCTCTTGGCAGATGGTGACCCAGCTGGCAGTGGGGAAGGAAGCCCTGTTGGCCCAGGAGGTGGACACACTGCTGACTGGCCTGGCTCTGCAGGGAGAGGTGAGACAACCCCAGCTGTGCAGTGTCACTTGCTTTCATGGGGACTTGTCTGGAGACCATGTGTAACGGGGACCTCCTCGTTTGGGCTGCCTCCAGTCCTTCACTTCACTTCCCATGATTCTGGGGATTTGCCCTTCCTTGCAGCTGGCAACATGTGGCTGCCTATCACACCAGCCCTTTGCTCATCCTTGGGGCAGCTTCTGGCACTGGCAGAACCCTCCTGCCGAAGGCACTGAGCCCCAGCATGTTGTCACACAGGACAAATTATCCTTCTGTCCCTGCAGGTGCTGTCTCCTGAGGACCTTCAGTCAGGTCAGCCTCTGTTCCTTACCTTCAGGGGTTTTCTCCAAGCTCACACCAAGAGTGCACAGAACATTTCCTGCCAACCCAAACTGGGTCCTCTGTGCTCATGGGAGGGGAGCGGGGATCAGCCAGATCCCTGTGATCTCTGCAGAGATCAGCAGCATCCAGCTCTGCCCACCAACAGCTGGAAACCAGACAAGCCAAAGCATCCCCTGCATCCCAGCCCCTTCTTACCTCACTTACCAATGCCCTTGGCTGAACTGGGAGCAGGAGGGCCGGGGGCTGATGCTGTCCCCTTGCCCGCAGTGTCCATGTTCCTGGAGGAGAGCAGCCTGGGCCGGCAGCACTGGCAGCAGAACCTGGCCCCGCTGCTGCAGCGCCTGGCCAGCACCCTGCGCTGGGTGCTGCAGGGCCAGCCCACACCTGGCAGCACGTGGGGCTACCTGGTCATCAAGGTAAGAGCCAGACTGGGCAGCGGGGAAGGATCAGTACCTGCAAGGACAGGCTGGGCACCGGCGGCAGTGTCCAGAGGGATGTAACGCATCGAGCTGCTTTGAATGGCCGTTCCTGGGGCACTGCTGCTTTTTCAGAGGTAAGGAATACTGATCATCCCTGTGGCACCTCCTGCTCCTCCAGGCCTGCCTCCAGGTCTTCCAGGTGCTGCCAAAGGACGTGGCTCCCCTGGTGTGGAGCACTTCAGGAAAGAGTGAGACCCTGCAGAGCCTCTTGGGTCTGCTGCTCGAGGTGGCCTGGGGGAAGGTGCGTACAGCCCTGGGAGGGATGGAGTTGCCTGTCTCAAGGAGCAGAGCAGTGCTGTCCTTCCCGGGTGCTTTCCCCATTCCCCTCCCCAAGGCAAGCCTGCAGAGACAGCCCAGTGTCTGGCATGTCTGAGAGACCCCATGTAGCTGTTTGCAGGGGCAGTTAAATGTGGTTGGGGTTTAAAGGATGTTTTGAGTTGTGCCTTTGTCTCCCTGTGAGTCCAGGCCCTGAACAAGGACACGAGGCTGCTGGCAGGCACAGCCCTGAGCATGTTGGTGAACACGGCCCCCCAGCCCCACTATGGGGCCAGCGCTGTGCTGACCCTGTTCCAGCTCCCCAGCCGAGGTGCGTGCTCCATCCTGAGCTGAGCAGGGCCTCTGGCACAGGTGACAGGCGTGTCTGGGTGTGAGGGGACAGAGGCTGGTGCCAAGCTGGACTCTGCTGCTGTGCGTGTCTCTCGGGGTCTGGGAGCTCCAGCTGTCTCCAGCCACCTCCCATGGAAGTTCTGGAATGAGCCAAGGCAGTTGCTCTCAGAGCAGCATTTGGGTTTGCCACCTTCCTTCCATCCAGCGCAGCCATTTTCCAGCAGGCACTGGGGAGCTGAAGTTTGGGGAGCTGGTGGTGGAAGTGTCCCCTGTCCTGGAACCAGACGGGCTGGAGAAGCTGGTGCTTACCAGAGGTTTGCTGACGTGCTGCAAGATGGACATCCTCAGCTGCCAGCTGGAGGGCCTCTCCCACAAGGTAGGAGAGCTCAAACCTGGTGGACAGGGCTTGAGGGAGCCCTTGGAGAGGGCTGGCAGCTGCCTGTGGTGTCTGCAGATCCTTGGGGGATGAAGCCAGGCTGCACCCCTCCACACCAGCAGCTCCATGCATCCTCCTAAGCTAAGAGCTTTTTCCAAAGACAGCCAAGCAGGGATTTCTCTTTCCTGGGGGGCTGGGAAACAAAGAGGTGCCAAAAGCCCCTACACAAGCAAAGCAGTGTTTACCCTGTGTTCCCATGGCATGAACATGGGGCTGTCCCTGCAGAGCACAGCCTCATCTCTGCCCAGCTCTAGCCTCTCCCATGTCCTCACCAGCTGAGGACTTCCAGGCAGGGAGCAGAGGTGCACTCTGTAGGAGCAGGAGAACCAGGCAGCACTGTCCTTGCCTGTCTCATGACAGGGTTTTCTCCCTGGAAATTCTGTGCCTGCCCTCTCCCTGAGCTACTGTGCCCCTGCAGGCCTGCCTGCTGCTGGACATGGTCTTTCCTGCTGTGTGTGCCCTGACCAGGGAGCAGAAGGACTGCCACTACTACTGCTTCCAAGGTAGGAGACAGTGACCCTGCCATGCAGAGAGGGCTGGGACTCTGCTTCCCAGGGAAGATGCTTTTCTGGGTCTTGGTAGCTGGTTTGGAAACTGCTGTTAATTTCTGTTCCTGCCCAATGGACACTTGCCCTCTTGGGGTCTTGTGTACCTAACAGGGAAACTGCTGCCCCTGCACACAGGGTTCTTAAGGCCACAGCCTGTGCTGGCTCTGGTGCAGGTGAGTCTGGGCGAGGGCTGCAGCAGAGCTCTCTGTTTTGGCAGCCTGTGCACTGTGGCTGCAGCGCCTGCGGGAAGGTCTGGCTGCTCTGTGGCACCTGACGGGGACCCGCATCCTGGCCCAGGACTCTGAGCTCCTCCAGGAGGTCACCCAGCTGCTGTGGAACAACGCAGAGACCCCGGTAAGGACACAGTGCCAAAGCACACCAAATGTGGCAGCTGGGAACAGCTCTTCCTTCACCTGGCTCAGCTGCTGTTCCCAACCCATAACACATCCCTGCCTGTTTCGCTCCCAGCCAAATACACTCCCTTGCTTGCAGCTGCCAGTGCAGGGGCAGTCACACTGCTGAGGGTGTGGCATTTGTCA